TTTCAGCCAAACATCATGACTCTAGGCCTGTCCGTTCTTCAGAAGTTGTTTGAAGGAAAAGTTGACGGACGAGGACGGACAGACGGACGGACGACGCGCCACGGCATAAGCTCACTTGGCACTTCGTGCCAGGTGAGCTAAAAATGTTGATGTTGATACTGCAGGTCCCGTTGATTATTTCTATCTTTTTTTCAATAAAAATTAGTTCACCACCATAGCCCGAGACACACACTCGCCGGCGTTTGAAAAACGAAAATAGATTTGACCCAAAACGGTCGGATACAAATTCTGTCGCAATAAAAGCTTTTATATAGGCCTAAATATATACTGTATTTAAAAACTTCTTGTGAGAATTTTGGAAATTTGGTTTGTTGTTTTATTTGGAAGTGATAATATCATTGTTGAGTCATTTCATTGAATCATAATTAAAGCAAAATGAAACATTTTAAAATGTGTCTATCCTGATATACATACAGCTGATTTGCTGGTTATGTGTTGATGTTTTTATTAGTAAAATAGCACTGAATTAAAATTTAAGAAATTCTGAACATAATTTTAACTTACTGAAAATGCTTAAAACAACTATTTCACCTTCAAAATTAAGGTTAGAAAAACAAATCAAAACAAAACTTAATTTCTCAAAAACTGCCATTGAGATGGCGTATACACATTTCAGTCAGTGCAGCAGTGTTGCATTGCAACAATGTATCTTAGCACTATCAGTACAGAGTGTTCAAGTGTATTGGTTTGCATGTGGCAAAGGGTTAAATAGACAAAAATACAAACATTAAAATATATCATAATGTCAGTCAAATAGACAGGACAATACAAACATTAAAATATGTCATAATGTCAGTTAAATAGACAGGACAATACAAACATTAAAATATGTCATAATGTCTGTCAAATAGACAACAATACAAACATTAAAATATATCATACTGTCTGTCAAATAGACAGGACAATACAAGCATTAAAATATATCATTCTGTCTTTCAAATAGACAACAATACAAACATTAAAATATATCATACTGTCTGTCAAATAGACAGGACAATACAAACATTAAAATATATCATTCTGTCTTTCAAATAGACAACAATACAAACATTAAAATATATCATAATGTCTGTCAAATAGACAACAATACAAACATTGAAATGTTTGATTATGTCTGTCAAATAGACAACAATAAGAAAGAGTTGACCGACGACAGATGATATTTTACAGGTAAATATATAACAAGCCCTTTTCTCACTGAAGTCGGATAAGATACAAGTATATTTGATAAGTATTATAAAGGCATTGTAAATTCTTTTAATAAGCTTACAAACAAGAACACTGACAGGTCAGTAAGGGCCACGTCTTGTGGCAATATATCCCCCATAATCATCAAGAAGCAATCTGCCCATATAGCTGAGCTTGACGTTTGACATTTGGAATTCAAAAAGAATCGCAAGGAAGCAAAATATACATTTTACATGTAATATGATGCGAGTA